CCTCGCACGTACGTGCACCGGTTCAAGTTACCACACTCTACAGTAGTATACAAACAACAGGCGGATTGAAAAGAAGTGATATCAAAAAAGATAAAGTAGTGTGATGGAAAAAAAATTTGAAGACAACGGTTAGTGTGAATACGTAAGCGTTAGAAGATATCAAGGAGTGAATACATCTGCGCCGCCATTGTAGCCGATTTTCAGCCATATCACAAGAACCCTCAACCACTGATTCGTTTCGACTCAGGGACTCCAGGTAGGCAGTCTGCATCTTCCCGTACAGTTCAAGTTAACAGCCAGAGACATCATAGACTGGTGCCAAGTCTTGGTCTGGTCACCTTGAACACTCTTCTGACCTAATCCAGCTCCTCCTAGCCTGGAACGTCGAGGTAGGTTGTGGCTCAGCATGCACAGCACATGTCAAAGTCATCTCAGAGGACTAAGTTTCTTAACCTCGTCAATCGACTTACCTATCTTGTCTAGTACCCTTCGTCTGACCTCAACATTGTTAGCATGGTGGTTCCATGAGACCTAGGCGATGCTACGAAGAAACCTATAGTCAAAAAACTAACTGTTTCATGTTTCCTACTTTTAACGGCCATATGTCACAGTTGCACAACAGAACAGAATGAACTGTAGCGCAGTTGCACATACATATATGCAAAAAATGAGGGAAGATATCACTGAGTGAACTATGAATCGATGTACACAGGATTTTAATTACATTGTCTAGCTGGAAAAATAAACTTATAGTCATAGTCGACGAAATACACCCCAGATATTTGAAAAATTGAGTCACTGAAAACCTATAGTAGGTTAAACACTTATCACTTGTTTTAGTACTTATACAATGAGAAGTTCTTACCTAGAAAATACTTTGTTGAATAGGATTATTCTTGACACTTAATCATTAGATGATAATTGAAATAGGCTTAAAATATTTTCAGATTATATCACTCAAAACAAGATATAGGGATACTTACAAAAAAAGGATTATTGTTTGCATTTAAAAATCCCATTTTTTAGGGATAATTCCTCACCGCAAAACGAAACTATCCAGGGGATCATTAAAAGTAAACGTGTCATAATTTTTTAGTTATTTATTTTGTTTCAGTTTGTAACCATTCATTGTTTCTTATTGATAAACCGTAATGAGATCCGTCATCATGGCTTATAGTGAAGTTGCTACTACTTAACTGTTGAGAAAAAAGTCACTGATCTGCATATCCAAACACTAGTCGATTCATAATATAGAATGATCATCATTCAGTGTCAACTGCTTTTAAACACAACTTCATTTCAAGTTGTTATTCATCGTAGACTGATATCAGTTGGAGGCATAAAGGAAACCTGGGAACATTGGACAGTTGCTTGGTCCTAGTATGGGACTCCTCAGCAGTGTGAACCCAAGACTCCTCCAGGAATCAAGCCCGCGACCTTACATTTCGTGGCCTGCAAGTTACCATTGAGCCACTGGGTAAGGATCCAGTGGCCTATATTTCCAACTTCTGCTAGCTCACGATATAGCACAACCGCCACCCAATGTCATCGTTGAGTAACTTTCCTCACGACCATCAGGGTTTGACCTGGACCTGAAGGTTACGGGTACGCACTGCTGAGAAGTCCCATGCTACGACGAAACGGCTGTCCAGTGTTCCCAGGTTTCCTTTGTTCCTCCAGCTGATGTTAGCCTACGATAAATAACAACTTGAAATATTTCCAAATCTCCACAACTCCCTTAAAATTCAATACAACTTCATTTATCCTAAAGATAATGTTTCTCTAATAGAAAGTCAGAAAATCCATCCCTATCTACGTAGGTGAATGTTTCATCGCTAAGTTATTCTTTGTGAATATGATAAATTTGTTTTCTGTATGTGAACTTTTGAAAAGTCCTTTTAAAATTGTCTGTCATCCTGACCGAAGACTATGACTTAGTTATTATAGGAAAATTCTGTCTGGAGGTTTGTGGAGATTATCTAATTGATTTTAGGTTGGAATTCCCCATAAACTGACATCAGTTGAAGGAACATTGGAAACCTGGGAACTGATAGAAGGAAATGTGAATCATGGGATTCCGATCCAGTGGCTCAATGGTAACATGCTGGCCACGGAACCTGTAGGTCCTGGGTTCGATATATGGGGATGGTATCATGAGTGCGCACTATTGAGGAGTCCCATAGTAGGACGAAACAGCTGTCCAGCGCTCCCAGTTTTCCAATATCTCTCCAACTAATGTCAGTCCATGATGAATTCTAACCTAAAATCTATTACGGAAAAGATAAAAAAGGATGGCTGCAGTGAAATTTTTTAAAATTTTTGACGAAGTCATTTACTAAGACATACATTCGTGAATATATATTGCAGTGGGTAGATCGCAGAATAAAGTGGAGGTGGATTGGGCGTACACTGAGAAGACCGATTGGGGACATCACGCCCAGGCCGTCGAGTGGAATCCGAAGGGGAAATGACAAGTTGGGCTTCCGAGGCGAGGGTAACATGGAGGAGATGGTGTGAGGAAGAAATGAAAGCTTCTGGGCAGTCGTGTAGCCAGGGTTTATGAAAGTGAGAAGTATAATTACGCAATACTGGTTTAGTCTGGGACAGTCAAAGCTTTTTGATAGCCATGGCAAAGAAAGAGGTTGAACACAGTACTGGTTTGAACTTCTGGATGGCTAATACTTCATCTATCCCCAGATGCCTTGATCTCATTCCCTTCTAGTGGCTTGATGGAACTCTGTAGAGTAATTTGAAAGAGTTCTGAAAAGGAACTGAGTAACCTAAGTTCACAAGGCGTTCTGAAGATGAATTTCCGTTCTCCTTTTGCTAACCAGGCTGAGTAGTGTACACAAGAATATTTTACAAGTGGATGCATGGTAGGGTCGATATACTCAGCTCTATAGGTGCATTGTTATCATTATTTGATATACGGAAAATGCGGTAATAACTTCCGATTCGCTTAGTCTGTGTAATGGGTAGTTCTTCCCGTTACTCATGCAACTGAATAATGATGTAATGTAGATGAGATAAATTCGCCTTTCAGAAGGGATTCGCAACTAAAGACTTGGCATGAAAACTTAAAGTAGTGATCCAACACCCCAACTAAACTATATATTATTTCCTTTAGTACTAAATAGGCTGTCACCTAGATACAAAACTCGGTTACTAGGTAGCAAATAGCCAATCCAGGATGGCACCAAGGCTACCAGACAATTAATAGACTTTTGTCAATAATTCTTCGTTATATTTCTTTCTGCTTCAACAACTCATACTGAAGAAGCCACTTATTAAATACAATTCCTTCAGAGTGAACTGAGGCATACGACTACTGCCGCTGAAAGAACACACAAGAATATATCTAACTAAATTTATAACTAATACTCCTACCTATTTAGCGTTGTTCTGTTTAGTTTTATCTGGGAAACACTTCAATATCACACCGAACGCAGTAAGCAGAGTTCGACAAAGTGAAGCAACTGGTTGTGTATGGATATTAACAAGGTTCCACACTGCAGCCTGATTGGTTAGTCAGTGAGCGCGTGGAGCCTATACTTAGTCTCACCGGCTAACTTCCTGCCTGTAAAGTTCTCTAAGAGAGGTGCGCCATCACGTGATTGGTTGGCTCGTATATGTATGCGGAAGATGCTTTACGCTGATTGGTTCTAACTGGAGGTACGTTCTTGGCTACAGGTGGTTGGTTAGATTTTACTGGAGGGGGATACCACTTGTATTGATTGTCAAAGTACAGAGGCTTGGTGAGTCGTATGACTAGTTTTGTATTTCCGTTGACGGTTTCCCTGAATTTGGATCGACTGATCTCTGTACTTGATTTATTTCGAACACATTTGTATATCTTCTTCAGGTTGATGTGGTAATTTATTTGAGTACCATACCTACCAGAACTCTCAGGCCGTTTTCGAGTATTTTGAAGCGCAGAGAACAACTCACTCTGAAACATCTTCATCATGGGCTACGAATATTCACCATAATCCTCATCTATATCTAATAACAGTAGTCATAATAATGAGAACAGTGGATGAATACAATGACAAGTAATATAATTGTATTTGTTTGAATAAGCGAACAAGACATTAAAAGTATGTAAAAAAATCTCTTTGATTATTACAACTTATGGTACAACAATTAAAATATTCACGATAGCAACAATTATCATAGTCATGGTATCAAACAAGAACAACAACCCGAATAACTATGTAATACACAAGTAAACAGAACACAACACTACACATGTGACAAAGTACTCAGAAGAAGAAAAGAATATTCAACACACCTTTCACTTCGGTATATACATAGAAATAAAGTAAGTAATCACACAGAAAGAAGAGATATCGTTCAATATTCACGTTCAGTAATCAGTTGCGCGGACTTTTTAAACACTTACGATACAATCACATAATACTATGCTAAGACAGTAAAATTTGATTTTAAAAGTGTTAAAAATTTTATTACAAATTATTGTTCTTAATTTACACGACAAATATGTTTATAAATTCAATATGAGGTAGTTTTCATACATAGAATTTCAAAGAACAGACTGTAAAAAATCACTATCATCCCATTGGTCAATAAAATAGACTGTAGAACGTAAACACGATCCACTACTTTCCCTATTTATCAGTAGTCTCTTATTCTTTTCTTCAAAAAAACAAGACAAACAAAAACAAAACAGAAGAAATAAACAAGAACAAAACAAAGATAAAACTAAAAGAAAGCGAAATAATAGTAATAATAATAATAATAACTGGAATAAATAATTATCAAAATAAAAATTAATCTAAATAGAAATTGACTAAATTTTATAGTTCAGGGATTGTGCGCTGGTTTATATTCAATTATTCCATTGTTATAGATTGATATTCATTCCTTCCAACCGAGTATTAAAGGAATGCTGATAGAAATGATTTTATTTTACAAAAACAAACACAATTAGTTGATATTCACATTATACAATCATTATATTAAGCTTTTTAGTAAATATACTATGTTGTAGAATTACTATTATTATTATTATTATTATTATTATTATTATTATCTTTGGCTAGTAAATCTAAATAAGCTGGAATAATTTCTGTATAATATTGACTTTCATTTAAATAACGCAGTATATTCGGTGGTAATGGTAACAGATTAATATGATCACGTCGAACATGCAATAATAACTCGAAACGACATAAATGTACTAATGAAGGAACAATTAAAAAACGTGATAATGGATGAAGTAAAGAAGCTTTTATATGTGTAGAGGTAGAACAACGTGTAGATTCTAAGACATGTGCTACATTAACAGATTGTTGAGATTGTTGTTCTTCTAATTGATCATGATGATGAGAATTAAGTAATTGTACACCAATATTAAAATTATTTGATGGTGAAAATCTTGACAAATTGGTAGAAAATGCATACGATCTTGAATAGAATCAGCCATTACACGTTCAATACACTCAGCTACACTTGATGAAACATTTTTATTCGAATCATTTGAAATTGCTAAACTAAATTTACCTGAAATATTATAAAAGTTGTAGTAAAATAAAACAGAAAAATTTAATTCGATGAAAAGAGAAGATACAACAAGGAAATTAGCAAACAATCATACAATTTTACTATAATTACTTGTATTATACCGTCGTTGATTGGACCGAATTGATCGGTCTCCATTAGCATATGGACTCCTGTGCGAATGCCTCGATATTACCTGTGTTTTAATTACATTATTGATGGATAGTGGCTAACAGTGGGATACAGGATGCGCATTTCATTCTATTTAGGACTTGTTAGCTGGATGTACCTGTCTTCCAGTGAGTGATATTGTTCCAGCTAGGATTCGGACTCGGGAGCGATCGCTTCAAACGCCAGACCACCGAGCCACGATAGCCATTTCTTGTGTGATGGAAGTAGTTTTAATATAATTGCAATTATACTAAAACTATACCCGTCGCACTCGAATCCGAATCTCGGTGGGAACAATATCACCAACTAGGAGGTAGGTACATCAAGCTGACAAGTCCTAAATAGAACAAAGTGTGCATCCTGGATTTCACTGCTAGCCACTACTCATCATTACTTTAAGTCATACAATTTGTTCACTTAAAGTACACGTAATCGGTTGACGATTAAACTTGAAAAAAAAACCTATACTACTTGTGTAATACATAAGAATTTGATAGCATTATAACAGCAGAAATTCCTTAATTCATACTAAGTGCGATTCGAATTCTCCGATACTGGTAAAAAGAAACGAGGATTGTCATTCCAATCCATATATTCATACAATCCAGCAATTTCAAACAGTTCTCAAAGCGAATAACGCAAAAATAATTCCATCAATCTTATTCATACAATAATAAACAACTTTATTTACATTTGTATGGTCATAGTAGCATTTGAAACGATGACACTCTGGTTTGTATTTTCTTATTCCTAAATAATCGTCAGACAACCTGCCTGGTGGATAGCTGCTATATTGACGTGGTGGTAGGCTTGACCCAAAGAGCCCGATTGGTTGCAACACTTGTTCCCTCGACGTCCTACCATGCCAGAAAGGTCTGTTGGATAGCAATAAGACGAAAAGCAGTTACCGTTGTAGTGTAAATTACTACACTATGATGAAAGTCTAACAGCGAAGTCGTGCTGTTACTAGCTGGATGGGGTGTGACAGTAGTAAGGTGTTTCCCTTTGGTGACCAACAGTGCACCTCCGGTGCTGCCTTCACAGTAGAAACGAAGGCGGGTTAGAAAAAGTTGGTCCCAGGAATAGCACATTTCTCCCTGCATCACGATCTTCCGGTGCCCCGGGGGTATGGATACTGTCTATTCGGCGTTAGAACAACCAAATCTCAAAAGGCTGTATGTGATAGGCCTCAAGCAGATATACCATGGGCTTTGTGTCACACAAATCTTCTCTTTCAGGCACCTTGAGAAGAAATAGCCTCCCACAGTGTGAGTAGCCGGGAAGTGTCGACCACTCATCAGCTACTGACAATCTAGAACTGCACAGATATTTCGCCCCGAGTCGGGAACCCTTCAGCACAGCACACTAATGACCCCATGAGAGATCTAGTCAAGGAGTCTCAAAGTAGGACAAGACAGATGTAGAATGTTCCAAGGTTTTGAATACCTTTCCAACAGATATCAGTTCATAATAAAAACTAGTCCACCGCCACAAAACACAACAAAGTGAAGTGAATTGAACTGAATCTTTTGGTTTCTCATATGTATACGGTTATTTCAGTTTTCTCCTTCATTTTCAAATGATAACTTGAGGATGTAAATAGCTTAACTCTTTCTCATGAATGATCTACCACTATATTGACCAAATGGATTCATTGAACTCCGGTTACTTTTTTTCTGTCACATATTGGCATAATAACTTACATCCATCGGAAACTGGTTGTTAACAAGGTGAATTTCCCTAGTTCTTTGTAAACCATACTAAGTTTGCTTACAGTACGAATGGCTCAGTGGGTTGAGAAGATGACTATCAAGCGCTGGGTCGAGCCCTGCCCACCTATCGAGCTTTGGACAGCCAGGTAGTGGATGTAGCTCACTGTCTACGTAAGGCATCTGAATGCGTCCCATTCATTTCTTCGCTGTTTCAAGATAGTGATGAAGACGTGTTAAGCGATTAGGATCAGGTTTATTATAAACATCAAAGGAATTAAATCTACTTGTATTAAAAATGTTGTTTGCTTAGTGGCAACCGGTGGAATCCTACCTAGATGCATGTTCCATCCTATTTGAGACTCACTAACCGGATGTGTCTGTATTCCAGTGAGTGATGTTGTTCCCATGGATACTTGAACCCAGTACCCATTGGTTCAGACGCCAAAAGGCCCCGGAGGACGACAGCCACCTCTTGTGCAACGGATATCAGTTATTGCCTTTGATAGCTTTAATTCCATGTTGCTCAACCACTTTTGCTAGATGGGCCTCTATGTAGATGCCTCGATACTGATTGCTCACCCATTGTGATGTTGATGTCTGTTTGGGGGCCAGAATTGAGATTAGTTAGTTAGTTAAAACTAGTCAACTCATGATTATTATTTTTACAAACCAAGGCAACATATTTTAAAATAACGAATTCGTAAGTATGAATTGGTAATAATAATTAATTGAAGTGTTGTTAGAAGACTTACCAGCAAGATGTTCAATTCTTGTATGATAAGTTTGACCACCGGCACGAAAACTGACACTTAACATGTATGAATCATGGCTACTGTCACGTACAAGAAAAGTTCCATCTGAACAGTTTTTTAAGAGTAATTCAGCTTCATCTACTGTCAATGGACCCCAGTACCAGCCAGTCTTTATAATAACAGAAAAAGTAAACGGGTTATGATGTCACAGACACTTTACAACGTATTATTTTACCAGCTTACATTATACTACTTGGTAGTAGTACAAAATATTTTTCAAAAATGTCGAATGAAATGTGCGGGTTGTAGTATTGAGGGAATAAGTTTAAGGATTCGTGACCAATAATGAACTAAAATCAATTTAGAAAAACGAATTTGATATGGATATAGTAAAGATTAGGCTGGTCAATAAAAACCTGCTTATAAAAATAGAATTGTTTTATGCAATATTCCTTTGTTGATTTCTCTACAAGGTAGACTGCAGTGGAGATGAGATAATCGTATAAATGAGACAGATGTTACATGATATACTTGTATATTCGAGTGGACAACGCTGAAGTTGAAAATAAAGCCCAGGAAACATATAGATTCCTCTGTAGTTTCAAACGTTGTATTGGGGCCATAAAATAACCCTTGAAAAAGACATTCGTTCCAACGGCTCCCATGCCGTTCATTGTCTGCCAACCATGGGACTGGATCAAAGAAGAGGAAGGGTGGTCAGTGTATGACAAGGTACCGTGGGATAAAGGATAGTTGTATCGAGTTGGCATCTGTTGATGCACCACGACCCCCTGGGTGGGGCCCGAGAGATCACGCAACTCAGTAGCTTGAGACGTTATCAGATATGGCTCAGAATCGAAACCAGTGGTGATCATGCTATAGCTTCCTTCTATCTTCTGCTGCTGAAAAGTAATGACTGTTTTGCTTTGAATGTACCTTACTGAACTGCCCTTCTAGTCATCCTATTCTTATTATGTTTTTCTTTTTATATATCCACTTTCCATCGCTTTATATCTTCATAATGTTGTGTCTGGTGCATTTCTTGGCGCCATTGCTGCGCTATGCTCGTGTTCCAATAAATAAAAATTAATTAAAAATAGTTGGTTCCAAAAAAGGAATAACTTCGGCATAAGGAGCAAGTTATCGCGTGAATTTCACATTTCTGATCAGATCCTTTTGCAGTAAAAAAAAGAGATACATTCAACAACCCTCAAAAATGATGAGCATTTTTCACCCGCACTCACAACAGCACATAATATATGGATAGAGTCATATAAAAGAATATAGATCTTATCAAAACTGACTGATTTAACATCATTTTATCTTACGATTCCTAATTAACCTGTTCTTAATACCCTTATCTGTTTTAACACAACAGTTTCTTGCTAAAACTATTAATGTCCTTTTCATTCACAATCACTTATTACTACATTGTATGATTCAAGATCAAACAGGATCCCTTGAGCCAAGTTTTACTATCTTAAGAAAGTTTTACTCCAACTTTCAACTTAGCTCCAAGTTCCAGGTCAAACCTCGTCTTCGCGGATGCTATTATTCAATAACCCGAGGGATTGGTCTCCCACCAAACAGAAAATATCATATCAGTGTATCCACATGAAAACAAACACTCCTGAAAGAGCAGTCTGTTAACAAACCCTCAAAACTGACCAGTATAATCCCAGAGCCTTCCCAACCATCAAGCTTCAACGCATCCACATTCACTACGTAATCGGGTAGCTTGACCGTGTTCACCTTCCCGTGGGTAAATTTGCGTGAAATACGTCTCACTGAGTCTCCACAAACTTGCAGAAGAGGTGCAGCCCACCTTCCCGGAAGACTATCCTCCTCTCGCCAAGATTTCATATAAGAAGGTTTCTCTCAGGCTACCCAAATGACTAAGGCTAGAGCAAACGATACTCGGGATTCCGAACCGAATACTGCCAACCTTCGCAATGCAAACCACACCCTTCTCTAGGGACTACTTCAACAACAGTGACTACCGGAATTAAAAAACTGGATCCCCTCACCTTTCAGTTGCACTTCTCCTAACGCACTGGAGGGAATCCTGACGACTGACTAAGTTCTCAAAACCCGCGCCACGGATTTCCGCATATAAATCTCGTCGATCACGTTTACCACCAAGTTAATTCCTAATGGTGGATTAGTTGGTATTCAGTGAGGCCACGTGGAGGCTTACTGTCGTTGCGTAACTAGTCTTGAGCAGTAATCATCAGTTTTCCTGGTCAGTTGTACAGACACCAGCACCACTTAACCACGCTATGTACAGCTTCTTCCCACTGATGCTCCGGCATACAACTATGGCATAGGTGTTTAGCAACATCGAGAGAGAGAGAGAGAGAGAGAAAGTTGCACTTACTCAAACACTTTCTGACCTGTGTACTAAATCACTCACTAGATTAGTACTACATTTTGTTTTCTATAAAATATAGAAAACAGTTCACTAAGTGCACCAAAACTTGAGTATACTGACTTGAAAGCCTATTATTCAGGTTCATACTCTTAATATATATAGGGTATCTTTCTGTAAAGATCCATTTTGGCTTAGAGATATACTAATTCAGTATTGTAAAAGTGAAAAAAAAATACAGCATTGAATACAAAGGCTTAAAACAGTACGGTCATCTAAAACTACTCTGGCTATTTGTATAACTTACGCGTTTCAAATGCATCAGATCAGTCACAAATTTTCGATTAATACACAAGATATCACTTTTTGAAGGATTTGAAGATTTTACTTGTTGATTAGCAGATTTATTACTAACCATATTAATGGTAGGTATTTTTGATGTTAAAGCTTTAGAAACTGTTATTTCATTATTTCGCCTTATAGTCTCAATGGAATCTTTATAATTTTGTATACATTGTTGATTTTTATCCGTTAAATTTGTTACGTTATTACTGTTGACTGATTGATCAACTTCTATTGGACTACTGACAGTTTTATTATATTTATCTAATTGTTTTGTAGTTAAATTTAAACACTGTAAAGTAATAACAGGTGACGATGAACAATCAGTTGGTTCAGATGATGGTGATACCTGCTTGCCAGTTGATTGGTCAAATCGAACTTGATTTATTCGACCAATAGTTGTATACTGATTGTCAAGATTTAAATGAAAATTTCTGATTGCTTTTTTTTGTATATGATAGTTTGTGCAGTGAATATTTGCAGTTTGTGAGTTACTAAGGGATTTTGTATCATGTTTAATGACAAGACTGTTTAGACTAGTGTCATGGCTAGGATGACGATGATGATGATGATGATGGTAATGATGATGATGACAGAAGTAATAGTGATGATATTGTTGTTCATGAAGACGAGGTGATGATGATACATGACCATCTTGTTGACAATAAAAGTGATGACTACAGTAATTGAGGTATCTTCTACAGAAACAGTCAGAGGTACATGAAGACGATGCTAACTGACAGTTAGGATGAGCATCATTCAATTGTTGACAATTGATTGGACAACTATGGCTGCAAAAACAGTTTTTGCTGTTGTTATTTGTACACATTTCTTGAACTTTAGTGGATACTAAATCACTGGAAGACATGAGTGAACATGAACAAAAATATTTTTCACATGAAAACATAGGACACTTTACAGTGTCATTCTTGTGACAGAGATTATTATTATTATTATTATTATCAAAATTCGAGGTTAGAGAATTGTTGAAAGCTAAATGACACTGATCAATTTCACAGAAACTTGTTAAACTCTCTACTGACTTTTGATTGGATACTAATGAAGCCGACAGGTTGGGATGTAATGGGATACAAGTATTGTGTAACTCTTGATATTTAACATTGTTCATGTGTTCAAAGTCAGATCTGAAGAAATATAAGAGACAATAATACTTAAATCATCGCTAGTTTAAGTGATTTTGATTGCAAAAACAATACACCAAAAATGTATGCTACGGTAAAGATCATCTATGTATAACTTGGCACAAATTTCAAATATACAGAGAAGTAACTTAAGGCATAAACCTTCGTTACTATTTAAATTATCATGTTTTCGTTATTTTCACCTTCATATTCAATGATACATAACTCAACTGTTCATCACTTTTTGAAATTCTGGTCTATATTTGTTTTGACTCGTCAAATGGTTGATTTCATATAAAGTTATGGCTTTAGTGAGATATATGATTCAACGATTTTTGAAACAATATGTACCGTTTACGCTTGCCTACATCAATTTTCAAGTTTAAATGTATACCGAATAACAGATAGGCTTGGCCACGTATATAGAAAATCTCTTGTCATCAACGTATGTCATATCTCGGAGACCCGTGTTCAATATGCGTTTATCTGAGAATCCCTAGAGTATATATATGCAAGCTTTCTGGTGTCAGTGTGTTTTACTAAATGATAAATTAGAGACCGTAACAGTTGGTCAGATATCCATTAAAAACTTAGTCACATTAAGAAGTAACCGATAAGGAAAACGATATCCTTTCATCATCTTTTTTTGTGCTTCGACGAAGAGAAGCTTACAAACATTTAAGGAAGAGTTCTACCAGTAGTTGCATGATATTCTCATTCAAGTGCTCAAGGCGGATATAGAATTATTAGCTGAGAACTCGAATGTAAAGACTGGAAGTTGAAGCATAAGTTAAAGTATCATAACTTTGAGTATTCGAGTGAAGAATTTACGGCTTAAACAGAGAAACATTTCCGAAACACCTTGTGATTATATTACAACGTACCTTTATACATTAAAGTAATTTAGGTAGTCAATAAAGTTTAGTCAGTCAGAAATCGGATGGCGATGATCAATCTTTTCCAACTTACTGCAAATCACACGCTATTTCTGAACAGCATTAAATTCTGGGGCACCTATAACCGTTGTGTCATCTGGCATCGGCTCTCTACCACTTAATTCTGCACGCATATAGAACAGGTTTCAATTAAATACCGTATTAAGGATTGGAATTCCTTCTGAAGCACATTTTTAGACTCTGACCATACTTTTGTCTGTTAAGTTCATCTTACCTTGGAGTAGTCATCAAAATTATCGTAGCAAACAGGTTGACATAAGTACTTTTCTCTCATCATGTATAACAACTCCAGATCTTTCCACTCTTCCAAAGCTAGCAGTGTGGGTGATCGCAGTGATAGTTGGCATTGGTGAGTTACGAATGCGAGATAGATGCAGAAGACATAAAGATTAGGTAGAAATCGGCAACAACCTAGGCTTATTAAGCATACCGACAAGAAGGAGATGGTTAGTGAAACCATGACGGAGTAGGATGGAACACTGATAACCTCCCAGGACTGGCGGCTAAAACGCTCGGCAGAACACTTTGAAGCACAGTCCAAATGGCCTTCAGTAGCGCTTTAGTTACCTAACATCTAGCCAGCCCAAAAATGAACGGGTTGCAGATGTCGGTCACCCAACTCTCCTTAAAGTTGAGGGAGATATATCGAAACTGAAACGTTGCAAAGCAGCAGGACTTGACAGTACCACCTGAAGTTTTCAAGAAAGGAGGTAGTAAATTGATGGTTAGTGACTGAGGTACTATGTAATGTGTGGGGATAAGAGGTAGTGCCGTCCGACTGATCTAATTCACTGATCTTTCCACTCCATAAGAAGGGAGATAAGTCTTATTGTAATAACCATAAATAAATCAGTCTAACTAACATCATGTCTTAGATTCTTGGGTCCACAGTTATTCAACACCTAGCTAGAGCTCGAGAACACCAAACCGGAGAAAACCAGCTGGGTTTCGGATCTAGGAGAAGGTGCATAGATCAGAGTTTCATGCTTCGACAGCTTCTGGAACGCAGGTATACCTAACGGCAGTGGCTGACACTTGCCATATTTCTTGACCTGAAAGCAGAATTTGACTCCGTCGAATGTGCGTTGTTGTGGCAGTGTCTGACTGTGAACGGAATATCCAGCAAGTGTGTACCGCTCATCAAAGCTCTCTGCCCAAACTCATGCAGCTGTTTATGGGTTTATGGAAAGTTGTCATGTCAACTGACAACTAGTGGTGGTACTTCTACCCAGGGATGCCCACTGTCACTGTTCCTATTTAACTTCGTCATAGACGCATTATTAGACATAACCTTAGGTACGTCTGAGTTCATACGGATTAGGCTACTCGCTAGAGGTCATCCGGTTGAATCGGAATACGCAGACGATATTTCCCCACTAGGTGAAAATGCTGAGAAAACGCAGGGTCTTCTGGACACCTTGAGCAGAAATCTGGATATGTTTGGCATGCGTCTGGACGTATCCGGGATGTTGACATTTAAGCTGAATATAGCGTGACTGACATTATTATTAGTCCTTTGGGTTCCTAATGGAACATACGGCTTCACTAGCACGTCTTCAGTGAACTCTGTTCGCCGAAATCTTTTGAACCTGGCTCCACGACAGCCCACAACCTCTCATTTCCTCCTCGCACGATCTCCTCCATATCACCCTCGCCTCGGACGCCCAACTCGTCGCTTCCCATCTGAGTTCCACTCGAGTGACTGGCCTGGCACATGATGTACCCAGTCGACCTTCTCAGTGTATGCCCAATCCATTTCCACTTCCTTCTGCATATTTGTTCAGCGATAGGTTCTTGCTTCGTTGGTTCGTTACCACCAGTCAGCCAGAGTTCCTTGTTGCTCATTCTTTCCAACCATCTGATCTTCAGTAGTGAGCGTAAACAGTTGTTGATGAATGTCTATAGTTTGTTGGAAATCCCTTTCGTAAGGCGCCAAGTCTCTGAACCATACAGAAGCACTGACTTGACGTTGGTGTTGAAAATCCGGATCTTGCTCCGCATGCTGAGTGCAGAAGATCTCCACACTGGTTTAAGGCTAATGAACGCCTGTCTTGCTTTTCCGATTCTGACTTTGACATCCTCGTCTGTGCCGCCTGTAGTTGAAACAGTGCTTCCTAGATAGGTGAAGGAGGTTACTTCCTTCAAGTTTCTCCAGTTGATGGTGACTGGAGTTTGTTGTTGGTGGTGGTGCGGTATCTTCATCACTTCTGTCTTCTCTATATTCACCTGAAGTCCCGTCTTCGCTGCCATACCTCTTCTGTCAACTAGTTAGTTTTCGCCTGTAGATCTTCAAGTTTGTGTGACATCAGACACAAGTCATCACTGGCGAAATCCAGATCTTCTAGGTTCTTTTCTGCAGTCCAGCCAGCGTATCCCCCCTCTTCTCGCTCCTCACTGTTTGCTGCATGATCCAGTCGACCACAATCAGGAATATCATGGGTGATAGTAGGCGGCAACCTTGTTTCACTCCCTGTCTTCACTTCACTTCAAAAGCATCACTGAGCTTCCCATTGTGAATTACTTGGCATGTGGCATCTTCATATAGTTGTTGAATGAGGCTGATAAAGGTTTGAGGTACTCCGTAGTATTGAAGCAGTTTCCAAATTACCTCTCAGTCGACGCTGTCAAAGGCCTTCTCAAAGTCGATAAAGTTGAGGTAGAGAGTTGACTGCCATTCTATGATCTGTTCTATGATGATGCGAAGCGTTGCGATTTGGTCCGCACATGATTTGTACTTCCTGAAGCCTGCCTGTTCCGGTCGTAGTTTTGAATCCAGTGCATCCTTAAGCCTCTCCAGGATTATGCGGCTTAATATTTTGCTTGCTTTGGGTGGACAGGAGAGTGATTCCTCGCCAGTTCTTGCAAACACTGAGGTCTCCCTTCTTCGGCAGTTTGACAAGGCAACCCTTCTTCCAATCAATAGGCAGGTACCTTCTCTTCCTTCCACACCTTCTGCAATAGTGGTGTGAGCATGTCCACTGTTGTCTCTGCGTCTGTTCTCAGTGCTTCTGGCGAGATCCCATCTGGTCCTGCTGCCTTCCCGCATTTCAGTAGCTTTGTGGCATTCAGGACGTCGACTTTCGTCGGAGGGCTTGTGTTCACTTGTAGTTCTGTGGATGCAGGTGGTATTTCTGGACGAAGTGCAGGTGGTGGTCGATTCAAGGGCTTTAAGAAGTAGTCAGCCCATTGTTTCCTATGTTTCTCTTCTTTGGTAATTAGGTTTCCTTCATCATTTTTTATTGGTTTAATCTGTGTTGATCTCTTCCCTTCCAGATTGTAACCTGGTTATTTGATATAATGTTTTCAGATCTCTGTCTCTCCTACTTACAGCCTGTTCTGCTTCACTTGCCAGTGTTTCGTAGAAGTGTCTTCTGTATTTGCGTGCACTCTTCTTCACTTCTTTGTCCAGTGTTTTATACACTGTGCTCAGTTCATCTTCTTGTCGTTCATCCTTGCACTGGTTTATCTTCTGCTTCACCATCCTCCTCTCCTCTATCAGCTTCCAGGTATCCGTCGAGATCCATTCCTTGTCTTCTTTCTTCTTCCTTCCTAATACTGTTGTGCAGGTTTCTTTCCACATCTCTTTCAAAGACCTCCAGTGTTCTTCTGCACAGGTTTCTTCGGGGATGTTGCTCGATATCTCCCATTTTGTCTTGATGGCTGATGTGAAGATATCCTTTGTAGTTTCATCCTTCAGTTTCCGAGTGTTGTACTTGAACTGTGGTCTATCACCAGCTTCCTTGAAGGCTTTCAACTTGATTTGGAAGGTTCCTTGCACTACATAATGAGTGGTGTGAACCCACATCTGCTCCTCTTCTTGACCTTGTGTTAAGTAGACTGCGTCTCCACTTTCTTGAGATTGAGATAAAGTCGATTTGATTTTTAGTGTGTCCTGGTGTCTGGTGAAATCCATATCGCTTTGTGGATATCCTTGTGCTTGGACACAGTGCCTCCAATCACCAAATCGTTGAATGCACAGAATTCTGCAAACAATTCTCCATTGTCATTCATCATTTCACCGAGTGCTTGTCGAACCATGGTTAGTTCTCTTCCTCTGTTGTCCCCTCCCAGTTCGGCATTCATGTCGCCCATTAGAATTTTGATATCGCCAACTGAGGCCTTGTTTAGTGTTGATTGCAGTTGTCTGTAGAATTCCTCCTTCTTCTCTTGCTCTGCATTATTTGTAGGTGCATAGTGTAGCATTGTATGATTGTGACCTTCCTTCCTTTTGAGTTGAATCTTGCTGTCATGATCTTGGAGGAGATTGGTTCCCACTGCATGAGAGTGAGCCTTCGATGCTCTTAGGGACATCATGATAGCCACTCCATAACTCAGTGTGCTCGTGGTTGTCGTCTGGGTGACAATATCGGAGTAGATTATTGACTCCTCTCCAGTTGACAGTTTGGAGAGTCCACTCCCATTCCATCTGCTTTCGCAAATCCCAAGCACTTCGATGTTATACCTTCTCATCTCCCTTGCAATCTGGGCTGCCTTGCTGGGTTCAAACATGGTGCGGACATTCCATGTCCCCATGTTTACTTTCGCTTTCATCGAGAGTGAGAAGACGCATCGGCCAATTGGCTTCCCGAAGACTTTCACCAACTGGCGTCATTTCGCCTCTCCGATTCCAGCGAGGAATAATTTTGTTATTATTTTTTATATATCGTTGTGCTTTGAAGTTTCTTTAGCGGTTAGATTTGTTTTACGGGGTAGGGTTGCTAGCCCTATGCCCAACCTTCCCTCTTTACCCGTGCTTAGGACCGGCTAGTAACTAGTGGACTAGTTAACCAGGCGAGGTTGTGACTGACATTAATGGTCGTTATTTTATTCAAATAAATATAAAACATTACAATAAATAAAGAAATTAGTCAAAATTGCGCTCAAAATTACTCATTCCTCAAACTGTTTGCACGGAATAATGACCACTTATGTTAGTAACGCCACATATAAAGCATACATGGCAACATACCGGATACCTGTGGTCGTTTCGCACCTTTCAAATGTAAGATAATGATCCAGGATTGGTCTGCTCCAGTTTTATGATGGGGAGTGAAGTGGTGGAATGTGTCAACAACTTCACTTACTTGCAGAGTTGCATCAGCCCGAACCAACTGGTTCCTAACAAAATCTCATCTCTCGTTTGGCATTTGCGAACATGCTTAACCTGTGGCGCCGACTGGCGAGATACCCCACCATCTATCAACGGCCGAATACGCTGCGCTGCAGTCCCATCTCTCCTGTTACACAGCTATGAGACATGGCCGTTGGGAGTAGACGATATGAAGTGATTAAAGGGTTTTCATCACACATGTCTTCATAGGATTGCTGGCGTTTGGTGAGGACATCGTTTGAGGAATGCTGAAGTCAGACGAATGGTGGGTACTAGGCAAGATAGGCAAGTTGATTGATGAGGTTGTGAACCTTCATCAACTGAGATGGCTTGGATATGTATGTACTGCACATGTCAAGTCACCGCCTACCACGGGGCCCCAAGCTAGAAGTTTGGTTCAAAAAAGGTCCCGGGTGGCTGGTTAAACCAAGACGTGGCGCCAGTTCATGGAATCTCTCACTGCTGATCTGAGTCGCGTGGAGAGATTAGACTACCTGGCTAGGGGTCCCTGGAATGAAGGAAATCAGTGGTTGAGAACTCATGATGACACGGTTGAAAATCAATCATAATGGTGCAGATGTATTCACTTCTTAACATCTTCTAAAGCTTGAATACTTGAGCGCTAGCCTGTATCTACAAATTGTTTTATCTCTCATAAAACTTTATTTACTTTGATATCGGTCATTTTCTATCCACCTGCTCTTGGTGTACTACTGTTAAAGTGTGACAACTTGAGCCAATGTACCTATGTGTGAGGTTTTATGTTGATTCTGTCAGTCATGGTATACACATCTACCAAATAACAAGCTACTTTGAAAAAAACAAACATAAATTTGCACGATGAATCAATGAGAAAAAGGAGAAGACTTACAGTGAAGCATTTCGACTGAAACTATTCATCCCAATCAACTGACTTCTTTCTTGGTTATTGAGATAACTGTCAAGAGGTAAGTTAGACTTTAGTTTATTAGGTTTTTGAGCTGGTTGACTTTGTGACCTATGATAATGTCCAGATTTTCTTACTTGATGTTGATAAATAACTGGGTAGTATTCATTATGTATTGGTATAGACGTAAAATCAGATGTAGTTGTTCTTGAACTATGTGATCTTTGGACACGTTGAAACCAACTGAATAGTTTTGTAAAAAGATAATTCCATCGAAAACCAATATTCAAGTGTGAATATTCTTCCTTATAAAAATGATTACCTACATTACTATTATTATTACAGTTATTATTAGTATTGTTCCTATTATTTTTAGCATATAATATATCTTCTGAGTTAAATTCATTTCGTTTAACAGGCGATGTATAGTCAGATGACTTTTTTACTCTAACTGGAAGTTGTGGTTTACTTGACTCGTCCACACTGAGATTCGATGACTGAGAAAATGTATCTTTCTGATCACATTCCCTAGAGTTGATTGATCGATTGAAAAAGAAGAAAAAAAGGGGATAAAATGTTTTTTCAAAAAAATTTTTTTCTTTCAATAAAAGCCAATAACAGCGGAAAAAATGGTTATCATTTTGAATAATCCAATGCTATGCAATGGTGCCCGATTCTACGATCTAGTCTAGAATGGTTAAACTTATTCTAATAAATCAAATCCTTCATGAATTACTGAGTACAATATTAAAGACTGACAAATTTAACCTATGATCTTTTCGTGTTAATCAAGTCCATGGTTAATTTCAGTTATCTAAGGTTATTTGAAAGTAGTTATGTCACAGATAGAGATGTTAAAATGCTTCCCCCTTAAAAGTTACCACAATTACTACTTCCTTATGGTGTAAGTGATGATAAAGTTGTTAAGCTTAGAGATGAAACTTTCAAGAAAAGGCATTAAAGCTTGGAGAATACTGAACAATTTCCACTCTCTTCCTGGGGGCTACAAAACGTTTCTACCACTACTAATATGCTTACATTTATTAATGAAAATATCTTCAACTGATTTTAAAGGTAGGTAATTCAGGACTATCGAAATTAAGGAGAATTGAGCAGAGGATACCACAATACTATACAGAATAGGAAAGTATGGTTCACAGAAGAGGATAAATAGAATCGCGTAAGTTTTATTCTCAGAAGTTCTTAAAATATCTGGAAACTTTAGTAACAATGTGGTTTCCTATAGGTCTATCAAAGAAATAAATTCAAGGTAGTCTTCATCATCAGTTGAAGAATTACTGAGGACCTGGAAACATTAGATATCTGTTTCGTCCTAGTACGGGACTCCTTAGCAGTACGCATTCAGGACTTCGCCAAGATCACTGTATTCTACGACGAAATCTGTCGAGTGCCAACCAATTTCTGAATGATTCTCCAACTGATGTCAGTCTGTGATGAATATCGGCTTGAAATGAATTCGATTTGGGCTTCACATCAAACCTGTCTGCTGACTGAATACTAGTCAGTCAAAAAGTAGATGATTCCAGTCTATGATTGTATCCAGGATTCAACAACTTCCATATAACTGCAAACTGCTTTTCTAGGGTATTTGAAGTTATATATATATAGCAATGATGGATTGTGACTGGCAGTGGAATCTAGTATGCGCATTTCGTCCTATTTGGGACTCGTCAGCTGGATGTGCCTGCTTCCCAGTGAGTGATGCTGTTCCCACCGGGATTCGGACTCGGGAGCGATCGCTTCAAACGCCAGAGCGTTTTCCACTAGACCACCGAGCCACGATAGCCACTTTTGTGCGACAGGTATAGTTTTAGTATAATTGCTTGTATTATACCGTCTTTGATTGGACCGAATTGATCGGTCTCTATTGGCATATGGGCTCCTGTGAGGATGCCTCGATATTGTCTGTGTTTTAATTGTATATTTATCAATGATGGGTAGTGCCTAGCACTGGACGAGTTCCAAATAGGACCGATCAATTAGGTTCAATCAACGACGGTATAATACAAGCAATAATACTATTTGAAGTTAACTAAACAACACATAGTAAAATGATGCATTTTGATGACCTTTAGTGAGTGGGTGAGAAAGCATAACGTAGAATTCTGTAGGAAATGGATCAGTTCTGTTTATTACACGTTGATAGAATACTTTAAAACAATCCCCTTGATAAAATTAGACAACTTACTAAAAAGACCAACCAAAATAAAGGAATGTAGGTAGTTTTTTCGTCAGTTGCTAGGGTGAGACAGTGTCTCTCCTTATGCCCAAAGTTAGTACCGGCCAGAAACAAGTTGTTGACGGAGCCGGTTTTAGAGTAACCGTAATAGGCCACCCTAGCAACTGCCTGGTAAAGCGCCTTCCCATAAATAAAGGAATATAACTGGCTATCTCAACAGATCCTAGAACCTAGCCTAGTGCACTAGTTACTACCTGGTCCTAACCCCGGATAAAGAGGGAAGGTTGGACATATGGCTGGCAACCCTACCCCAGAAAACCAATCCAATGGCTGAAGAAACTTCAAAGCACAGACGATATATAAAAAACACTTATTCTTCGCTGTAATCGGAAAGACGAAATGACGCCGGTTGGTGAAAGTCTTCGGGAAGCCAATTGGCTGATGTGTCTTCACCCCTCTCGATGAAAGGGAGAGTAAGAATGAGGACATGGAGTGTCCGAACAATGTTTGAAGCTGGCTGGCTGGGAAGGCTGCCCACATTGCAAAAAAGATGAGAAGATATAGCATGGAAGTGTCAGGCTAGAAATCTGCGAAGAATCTGCAGATGGAATGGAAGTGGACTCTCCAAACTGTCAACTGGAGAGTCAATAATCTACTCCGATATTGTCACTCAGACGACAACCACGAGCACACTGAGTTATGGAGTGGCTATCATGATGTCCCCCTCCCAAAATCATCGAAGGCTCACTCTCATGTCGTGGGAACCAGTCTCCTCCTGTAGGATCATGACAACCAGATTCAAATCAAAAGGAAGGAAAGTCATAATCATACAATGCTACGCTATGCACCTACAAATAATGAAGACCAAGAGAAGAAGGAGGAATTCTACAGACAACTGCGTGTTATATAATGTTGCAGTGGGAATAGAAACTTGGAAGCGACATAAAAACCAACTACGATACCGAGCACAGCCAGTCGAAGAAACAAAAGCCAACGATATCTCACTAGAAATCCTACTGGATGGATACCTTCGCGATATCACGCAAAGATGCCCAGGAAACCACAAAACCTTGGATAAACAAAGAACTCCTACCCCGACGATGGTCAGATCGGCGCAGAAATCGGACAGTTCGGTCCCAGTTGGAGCCCAAGTAAAAAGCCCGATTTTTCTTAGAAAAGGGTTATGTTAGGGATGGCTAATCCTTATAGCAGTTTAGGATACCAAACGCGCTGATTGGTCTATTTTACGTTTAATATGCTATTTGGTTTTCCCTGGTCAAGACCATATGAGAATATATAAACGACTGAGTTTTCAGCTATGATTATTCAGTCGAAGTAAATGCACTTTCAATCCCTTCGTCTGGTGTCAGCTAAATATCGAGTTGAGAAGTCATTGTTCCATTGTTAATCGTATCGCGTCGTAGCATTCTATCGTTACATATGACGTTATTATTCACGGTATCTATGATGATAGATAGTGTATTTACTTCAACTGAATAATCATAGCTGAAAACTCAGCCGTAGAGTTAAACTAGGGGCCGTTATCCGACATGATGGTTTCTGGAAGGCCGTGGCAACGTAAGATATTGAAGAGGGCTTTTAGCATTCTCGTGGCATTTGGCGGGCTGATAAGTGCAATTTCTGGCCATTTTGAGTGAGGGTCTACCAAAATAAGGTAATGGTTTCCATCAATGGGTCCGGCGAAATCAACATGAACTCTCGAACATGGGCGTTCGCGATCTGGCCAGGGCTTGAGTGATGGTCGTGGAGGATGCTTGGCGGCTTATTGACATTCTGCACACCGGTTGCCATAGTCTATAGTCTGTTGACCAATCCGCGGCCAATATACGTAGCTGCGAGCGACTGACTTTATACATTCGATACCCGAATGAAATTCATTTAGGATTTGGTTACGAAGAGGTCCGGTTTCCAAACATGAGGCAATCGTTGACAATATACAAGGAGTTTCGGCGATGATGTGGCTGTTGGAGATCACCTGTGAACGTTTCTTTCGGTCATCGGGTGAGGACAAACTGCATTGCACGCTGTAGTGTTTTGTCCTTGGGTGTAGCCGTCTAGATATCGACCTTGGTGACTAAAAGCGCTCTGATGGCTGCCGTTAAGTCAAAAGCTGCGAAATCTGTTGAAACTGTTGCAATAACGTTTTCTTCGTTGGTCGTAGAATAGTCGCTTATAAGACGGGAAAGGCATGAGTTTGACCAAACTCTTGAGTGCATCGAAAATGAATATCAAAATCCTATCCCAGTAACGTTAGGGCCCACCATTGAAGTCGATTTGTAGAGTGAACCGTAACACCAGATTTAAAACCAAAAACAGCCAGCAGCGGTTTATAGTCTACAAGTAGCGTAAATTTGCAGCCATAGACTAGCTTATGGAAACCTAGGGGGGGGGGGAGGGGAACAGTGGCCGAAGCTTCTTTCTCAAGTTGACTATACTTCCGCTCTGGGGTAGACAGCGTTCAGAAAGCATTCATGATTGCCTTCTCTTTATCATTTGGGAATACATGTAGGACTACAGCCCCAACTACATGAGACGAGGCAGCTGCAGCTATAACGGTTGGCAACTGAGGGTTATAGTGGGTCAGCAAAAGGTCGGATGATAACATAGACTTCAGCTGACGGAAGGCTGATGCACATTCTTTGGTCCACTGACATGGAACATCTTTACCCAAAAGCTGATTTGACGACGTCTTCGTAGTATGAAATGATGGTAAGAATGCTTAATAATAAGTAATCAGTCCCAAAAATGGTTGTAGGGAGGGGACATCAGTCAGTTCTGGTATCTGCTGTATGACACGAATATTTTCGCGATCTGGTCGGGGACAGGAAGTATTAAAAATAAGTGCCAGATATTTGACTGAATGTAGACAGAACTGACATTTTTCGGAACGAAGATGGAGACCGTTATTCTCTATTCGTTCCAGCACCTGATCCAGTCGGTTTTACAGCTGTTCTGAGGAGGCCGCAACAATGAGAATGTCATCCAGATACATAAATACCCCAGGTGTGCCAGATAATATTTTATTATTTAGTTGTCCCTTGGGTTCCTAGTGGAACATAGGGCTTCAGTAGCACGTCTCCAGTGCACTCTGTTCTCTGCAAACTTTTGAACCTAGCTCCACAACTGCCCATAAGCTTTCATTTCTTCCCCACACCATCTCCTCCATGTCAACCTCGGATGCCCAACCCATCGTTTCCCCCTTTGGATTCCACTCGAGTGCCTGGCGCGTGATGTCGCCAATCGGTCTTTTCAGTGTATGCCCGACCCAATGCTAGATAATATGGTATCTATTATTTGTTGGAAAATTGCTGGAGCTGCTTCAATTCCAAATGGAAGGCGGTTGTACTGGTATAATCCACGATGTGTGTTAATCGTTAATAATTCACGGTATTCTGGTGCCACCTCGATTTTCAGATATGCGTCAGCCAGGTCAATGTTAGTGAAGCATGTGCCGCCGTTGAAAACAGTAAGAGTACCATCCGGTGCTAGGAGTAGGTAGTAATGCGGTTCCAGGGCTGCATTAAGTCCCGTGCACATATGAGAATGGAGCCATTTGGCTTTCTGACAACCACAATAGGAGCCACCCATGCAGAGTAAGAAAATGGTGTGATAACACCTTGTTTTTCCAGACGGGAGACTTCTGCGTCGATTTGTGGCAATGATGCGTAAAGCACGGGTCTCTTGGGCCTGAAAACAGGTTTGGGATCATATCGAATGTGGAGAAAAGCTTGGGATAATGTGCAGCGATCAAGACCAGGTTTGAATACATTTAGGAAACGTTGGTTTATGTCAGCTATTGTCAGCAGACGCTTGGTCTGATTGCAAATAGAACGTAGAGATATATCCGAAAGACCAAGATTTTGAAACCAATCGAGACCCAGGAGGATTAAATCAGCTTCAGATAGATAACAAATTCCATTTATCAAAGTATCATGGAAAGATACAGTACATGATAACTGACCTGTTAGTGGTAATCGACCACTGCATGCGCTAATAGCAGTTTGTGCAGTCTTCTGGGCAGGTCGGTCAATCTTTCACCTTAGCTTATTGAAAACAATCGTGATATCTGAAGCTGTGTCGATTTGTAGTCGTACTGAATGGTTATTTATCTGGCCGGTGATATATTTTCTTCGTGCTGATGCATTCGCTTGAAAAGCAGGAGTAAGACTAAGAGATTTACCAACTGGTCATGGCTTCGATTTCCAACAGTGACCTGCCTGTTCATTATGATGGGTGCTACTTGCAAAATCCGTCCCTGTGACCGACTGTATTACAATCTCTGCACTTATTCTACTCATAAGGACAAGATTTGACGAAATACCATGAACTACAATGCCATCAGGGGGGATAGAGGAGTCTTCTTCGTGTTTCTTTTGGTATTGTATGAGCTATTGGAATGATCAGCAGGATTTGAACCAAGAGTCTTTCGGCCAGAAAAGGATGCAGAAGAATTAGATGTCTGGCGAACCGCATACACTTCGTGAATACCTTGGCGTCCGGATTGGACCGAACTTGTATCCCGTTGCAGGTCGGGCAATCATTGATATTTATTAGCGATATCGTTCAACGTTAGTGTTGGTTTTTGCTCAAACTGACTTAGCAATCTCATTCTGATATCTGTGAACTTGGGCGACTGAATGCTGCATTTGAGTATTAAAGATTTGAAATGGTCATCGGTGATGGACTTCGGCTTGGATTTTTCGCATTCGCGATTAACAATACCAGCATTAGTCGGGAAATCATCATTCTCGTTTATAACCAGTTTAAGACAGAGACATCTGGAATTAGAAAGAGACGAATGATCAACAAAGTGTTGTCATAGGGTCTATATTGTGATACCGAAGAAGCGGTCTGTTGGGTTCTGTGGCAGTACTGTATTGCAATACTGATCTAATTCAGATGGACCAAGTTTTCGAAGGAGATGAATTTTCCATGAATCATCAAAACTAATTCTGAAGTGGTCTTCATATCTTCGAAAACAAGTATCGAAAGTCACATTAGCATCTGGATCATAATGAAATTCTGTGATGCTAGTTGCAATTCGATCGACTGAATGCGCTGATATAGCAGGCGTAGGATTCGATGATTCAGCTGTACAAATTCTGGGCTAAGTTAATAACTCGATAATCTTCATTTGTTGTTCAAGAAGCTTGTCCAGCTTTGAAGTCAGTTTTCTATTCCATCCCTGTCGCCATTGTTATATTCCAACGGTATATATATATATATATATATATATATATATATACGATTAACAATAGAACAATGACTTCTCAACTCGATATTTAGCTGACACCAGACGAAGGGATTGAAAGTGCATTTACTTCGACTGAATAATCATAGCTGAAAACTCAGTCGTTTATATATTCTCATATGGTCTTGACCAGGGAAAACCAAATAGCATATTAAACGTAAAATAGACCAATCAGCGCGTTTGGTATCCTAAACTGCTGTAAAAGTAAGTAACATAGCATGGTGCAAAAGAAACGTGCAAATAAAGTTTACATTTTACAATGATAATGTAAACATATTATAAGTTAGTTATTCTTAAGGATTAGGCACACCTAACATTTAGCTTTGGAATATAACCGGTCAGATAGGTTGGCAGGTTCATTTATGATGAGACTGATGGAAGTGTAAGTCACGATGATATAACATGTTAGGGATCATCGGCATGTTCCTTTTATATGCCGTCTGAATGAAGGAGAAGTAAGTCCTAGCGAAGCAGATGAAACGGGGTTTTTATAGTAAAGAGTTACACGCTCATGAATACTGCTGGATTAGTGAATTCATGCGATTACACAAGTCGGGTACATCATATATACCCTAAGAGTTTTTCTCATCTATATTTTCAATTATGCGGATATTATTGAAACATTCTGAGAGTTCTCATCAAGAAGAGTATTGATATCTTAATGTATGGATGGTCAGATTGTGCGTTGTTCGCTGAAAGCACATTCGAGTTAGTAAACATCTCAATATCATTCTAGATATCACCATCAGAGCTTCACGAGGAAATGAGATAATTGATTGTGCGTGATATATTCCAGTTTAGCTTGTTTATTAGATGTATCACATAGTGAAACAGTTAATACTCCCTGCTCTGAAAAAAACTAGAAGCGAAACACTAGACAACCAAGTTCGATATATATTCTCACACAATCACCAACCAACCAATCAGCTTGGACTGAGGTAAAGTAGCACCTCATGAAAGTCCAAGCACAACCAATAACTTTACTTCATTGTGAGGCTCTGATGCCTTAATGACGATATTTAGCACGGCATTGAAATATATTTGTTAACTAAAATCTCAGGTTACAGTTCTTATTGTGATGAAATGACAAGCTAATGTACAGATGACACACAAGAGAATGTTGTCAAAGTATGTGCTTTTTATGTTCAAAGTACTTTGATTCAAAGCAGTATGCAAAAAATAACTTCCTACTTATCTGGATAACGAGTAAAACTCGCAGTTAATCTTGATTTTCCCCCTTGTAGCAAGCATACCAACGTAATAATAATGATGATAATAACAATAAGGGGAAATCAAGTCACTTAAACGACTTGTAGAAATGATAAAAATTCAAGCATTGATTTTTATTTGTTTCAGTGAATTAAATTGATTTTCTTGGGTTTCAGAGATATTCTGTTTGATTTTCACTGGTTTGCTTTGGACTTAGCCTTGTTGCTTACATTGTAAACACTTTTCACATAAGGTGCTTTTGACAGTGATAAGCTCATAGACGGCTTAAATTTGTAGTTTATTAGTCACTGTTCTTTATTATTTACAGTATCGTACTTCAGATAAATAATCTTATGTTTTGGATTTTACGGGTAACTCTAACGTTTGGTTTACTTGTCAAAGAGTCAAATGATTGCTTTGGCTTCGAATTTCTTGGAAAAGAATTTACCATATATATGGGAGGAAGAGAGAGACAGTTAAATCACACTGTTTCGATTCGCTTCCTGAGATCTTTGATGTTTTAAAGGCAAATTTGTGTTTTAGGCAGTAAGTATACTTCTAATAATCATTAGAAATGAAAACATGAAGGAAATTGTGGAAAAATCTATTTCTTTAGCTTTATAAAACACAGAAGGAAAGGACCTATGTGTCCTATGCACATAAGCTTAAGGTAAGTTCCTTCAATACTTGCGGTCAGTGAATGTTACTTTCAGAAATCGTGACAGATATACTGATACAAATCTAGTGAAATTAGATATATAATAAAAATTATTTTTCAATTCAAAAATATTCATGACTTAAAGTCATTTGATGAGTTTTTGTAACGTTTCACTATCTGGTTCCCTCGCAAATTACACATTTCTCCTTACATCTCAAAAAGTACACCGTCTCTGTGACGTGAGTCAGCCGTAAGCTGTAAACTAGTTTTTCATAACAGTTCCCGACGGAAATTATCACCGTAAGAACTATTTTCCGATAAACAAGTCAAAATAGACCCTAGCATACAGGTCTCAGCTGTCAAACTTTACTTCAGCATGCAAAGAAGTGGACAGAAAAAGGAATATTACCATGAATAAGAGTTTATGGAGACAGAATAAATACATGAAGATTGATGAAAATATTTAAAAGTTTGAAGGTAATAAGGAGCGCATGAATTTGCACGGTTTGACCAGTTTTCAATCCTGTCAACTAAAGTCTCGAGTCACTAATTTCTATTCTCTTCAGGACGTCAACGAGACAGTCTGTACCTTCCTGCATGGTTCAGACTGGAAGTTAAGGACTTCATAGACTATTGTTATCACCTGGTTTGACCACCTCTAGCCTTATTTCAACCCAGTCCTACTTCAACTAACTTCCACTTTGAGGTAGGCAACCACTTATAGGCATAAAAAATGTCCTAGTCATTTCAGTTGGTGAAGATTGATAACTCAATCGACTAACTTGTTTTTCTTGCCTAGGATCCTGTGCCTAACATGGTGGTTTCAAAACACGCGAGCTACGTTACGATGAAATCTGTAGGCAAAGGTCTTTAACCTTTTTATATCTATTTTCAACAGCTATCTCAGTCAAATAACAGGACAGACCGAAATGCTGAACAGTATACTTTTCCTTTAAGACGTAGTCAGATATCTTGCCAGCGTCACAGACGACGCAAGTTGGTGTATGCAAATTCGTCAATACATTTTATCGGTTCGGTGTCTGTCCCTAAATTAGAAGTCGGTGGAGATCAATCCTTAAGTATCAATTTAAATTTGACAGATGTGAAACACATGCCAAATACATTTCTTTTAAACATATTTTAAAGACTCTGCATTTTGTCAGCATCTTCGCCTAACATAACTGTGTTTTTCACTTACGTTAAGTCAAATTATGTTAAATGAAAAGTTAAATATGTAATTTCATAACCAATTAGTGATAGAAATAGCTACTAAAACAAATTAAAAAATTTTATTATACCCATTTTTTGAAAGAATTGAATCGGATATCGTAAAACATTGACTTTTAAGCATTATATATATTTCTCTCTCTTTTCAAAGAATCATGAACAAAATGTAAACTCCTTATCCTTATCTAGTGAAATACAGGGAAGGAAAAAGATCCAATTTAATTAAACATACAAATAATTTACTGAAAGGTTTCAAGGTCAAATCAAACAGAATACGTTCAATATTTTCAACTACCTAACTGATGAATTTCATTAATGAAGGTATATACTATATACAAGAAAAACCAGAATCAATATGGAAAACAAATTCAAAGCTTTGAGCATTTATTCTCTTTTAATAAAACGATAACTTATAGATTTATCGGGATGAAATAAAATTTTTTACATTGGTATCAAAGTACACTGTGATTGGTCAAAATAGAAAATAAACAACAAAGCAAAAAAGATTCACCTCATGAATTACATTGATTTCAGGCTGGTATTCATCATCGATGAACATCAGTTGGAGAAACATTAAAGCACTAGATAGCTGTTTTGTCCTAGTATGGGACTCCTCAGCAGTCTTGACCTGTGGGACCAGTCAAGTCGAATATGAGAACAGTTACTCAACGACAGCATTATATGGAGGTGGCTCTATGTCGTGGACTGACAGAAGTGGGCAATGTTAACTGGGTTCCAACCCAGTGGCTCAATGATATAGTGCGGGTCACAGAACTTGAAGGCCCTGGGTTCGATATCTGTCGGGGTCATGGGTGCGCACTGCTGGTGATGAATACCGACCTGAAATCAACAAATAAACCTCCACAAATCCCAAAATTGAAACGCGGAATATATGTTTGGTCTTTAGTTAGAGGTTTTGGGGCGTTTATTTATTTAAAGGTAGTATTCACCACATAAATGCTAATCTGCAATAAATACTATCATGGAATGTGCTTTCTTCATCATCTGAATATTTATAGTTCTGTAAGAAATAAACGGAGATTGTACTGCTTAGTTAGATTACCTAAACGATAAGCTGGAAAACAGAGTAACTGTAATTTGTTGTGGTTCGCTTGATGGTAACTAGTAGTGGAATCCAGGACACGCGCTTTGCCCTATTTGCGACTCGTCAGCTAGATGCGCCAGCACCCCAGTGAGTAGTTTATTTTAATCGAGACTCCAACCTAGCACTCATCACTTCAAACGCCAAGGGGTTATCCAATAAGCCACTGAGGCACGAGAGTCACCTCTCGTACCAGAAGTATAGATTGTTACTTATTGATACTTGTAATTTCTCGCTGTTATACTGGATCGAACCACTCGACCTCAGTTGGAACGCCATTACTCACTGGAGTGCAGGTACATCCAGCTGACGGCTTCCAAACAAAACAAAACGCATGTCCTGGATTAAACCACCAGGCACCACGTAAACTACAACTTAATGTATCTGCGATTTCAAGAGATTTCATACACCTAGTGAGGCTTAAACCTTTTAATGTCAGTATAAGACTCAGACTTACGTTTAAGCATCTCACACTTTGAAAAATCGTTAGCGGAAAATGACGATCAACGTTGAGACAGTCCAATTCTGACAGACAAATGATTTGATTACCAATATCTAACTAAAATGCATACATTTCTGAAGTGAATAATTTCCAATTACTCATACAAACCTATAATGAGACAATACTTTCATTGATTTCAAGTTGGTATTTATCATGGACTGACATCAGTTGAAGGAACATTTGAAACTTGAGAGGACTCACTGGACTCACAGCCGTTTTGTCCTAGTAAGGAACTCTTCAGCAGCGCGCACCTATGAGATCACTAAGGATAGAACCCAGGACCTTCGGGTTTCGAGGTCAGCACGTTGCTATCGAGCTACTGGGTATGAACTCAATAGTCAAGATTTCCTACTCGTCAGTTTACGACATATAAAATTCTATATGAGGACAATTGCTCAACGACGACATTGAATGGAGGTGGCACTATACCATAAGTAGGTGGTATGAACCAATGGGTTCTAACCCAGTGGCTCAATAGTATGGTGCAGGTCACAGAACCTGAAGGTCCTGGGTTAGAGCCCTGTTGGGGTCATGGGTGTGCAGAGCTGAGGAGTCCCATACTAGGACTAAACAATTCTCCAGTGCTCCCAGGTTTTCGGTGTTCCTCCAACCAATGTCAGTCGACGATGAATACTAACTTGAAATCTATAAATAACTCCCCTGACTGAATAATGCTTTTATCTTTTAACATTAATAATTCTATACTAAGGGATGACTGAAGGTGAGATGAAAATCTGGACCGCGGTCAGATTCGAACCAGTGGACATCGGGTTACTGGCCTAGTGGAACAAAAATGTGGTCAACAGTTGGACCTC